CCAGTGCTCTGCTCCCCAGAACGTGGCAGGGCTGAGCCTCAATTCTGGCCTTTTCAAGCTCTGCAGTTACTGCTTGAGCGTGAGAAACAAAGGCAGAGAGGAGAGCGCCTTGCAGACCTGCCCTGACTGCTGTTCACATTGTGCCAGGTTGGGAGACATCTCGGCCTGTCCCTTTCAGAGGTTGTCCTCTCCTGCCAGCCCTGGCCAACCCAAGGCAGAAGCATGGCTGTACTTGCAGTAGACCTGAGTTTATTAACCAGCCCTGTTGCACCCCATAGGATATGTGGGTCCCTCCCGCGTGAGATGAACGTAGGTCTCGCTCTGCTGTGGCTTTTCCTTTGTGATCTGAGGCTGCTGTATTCAAACAGGTATTGAAGTAGCAGCCGGCTTCTGCTTCAAAGCAGTGGTAACTTTTACGTTGAAATGGCGCTGCTCTCACCAAGGTCCCTGGGCAGAGATCTGTATGTGATGGTGGGCTGCGAACCAGAAGCAGCATGGTGGTCTTGGAGGAGGGGGGATTACTTGGCCCCTTCTCTCCGTGTGCTTTGCATTGTGCTGGGGAGGTGATACCTTACTGTGGGGTTGCCCTCACCGGGGCTGAGCCCAGGCCTGCGGATGCCTTGGAGGCTCCGGTCATCTCCCGGGGAGCGGCAACTTCATGTGGACCTGGGGAAGTGAGCTGCTCTTTGGAGCGCCTGCCCAACTGGCTCCTCCAAAACTGCTTTTTGATGCAAGTGTCTTGTTTTGTGCGTTTCTGCATCTGGGACGGGGGAGTAAATCGCTGCTTCAGCATTTGCTGTGTGCACCGGGCGCTCTTCCTGCATCCTGCGCTGCAGCAGAGACCTCCTGGGGATGGAGGATGCTGGGGCAGCCTGGGGCTTGGAGGATGTCAGCACTGGCCTTGCGTGGCTGGCCCTGAACTTCTCTAAAATACACAGCAGAAGTACCTTGCGGGAGGAGGGGGGATTTTTTTCTTTTTTCTTTTTTTATTTTTTTTTTTAAATCCTAAGTGAAGTCCTCCTGCAGCATGGTGTGCCTCCGGCTAATCCCCAGGAAACTGGTTCAGCCAGCATCAGTACGGGCAGGGAGGGCACTGCCAGTGCCGGGTGCTGTGCCTGGAAGCAAGGGTTACACTAGGGCTGTGAACTGGGAGTAAATAGCCGTGTCTATCTGTGCGGGGGTCTGTGGGTTCCCCGGGACCACTAGCAGAGGATGAACCATTGGTTCGATAATCCAAATGTCACCTTTAAAATTTTTTTTTCTCTCCCCCTTCCTTTGAAAATGGCCTGTTAAGCTGTGACACCACACAGCCTGGGCCCCTGCCAAAGAGCCCTGGGGCTTGTGTTCCTGCTCGCGCTGCCAGGCTCCTGGCTGCCTCGCTGCTTCGTGAACTCCCATTTGCCTTTCTTGGCTGGAAAAAGGATTAAGTTAGCAGGACAGGAAAATTTATTAGCTGCCATTTTAAGGATGTAGCTTTTGTTGCAGTCTGAAGTGTTTTGAAATGACATTGTATTACTGAGACCAATGTGGGGCTGATTAAAAGTCTTTTACCTGCTGGAATACCAGATTTATTTCCGCCATGGTTCTCCCCCAGCTGATTATGGCTTCAAGGTGAACCTCAAGGCCAAATCAAAGGAGTGTTTTGCCTTCACTGCTAGTGCCGGCCGTGGAAAGCTGGTACCAAAGTTTTTTCTGCTTGTTTAACATTCAAAATAGCCTCTCTTTGCCCTTCCCCTCTGCGCAGGCAGCCTGCCAGCTCGGCGCAGGCACTGGCTAGGACAGCAGGGAACTGCAAAGCGAGCTGCAGATTCCCTGCCCCACCGAGGCTGGGGGGGTGAGGTACGGGGGGGCTTCCCACAGGGAGCTCGGGGGCAGCGCCGCAGCCCCTGGGTGCTGCGGGGTGAGCCTCAGCCTTTCCGAATCGTCTGGTGGAAAATTGCTGCCTTTTGGTGCAGGTGACCCCCAAAAAAGAGCAGAAACGGTGCCACTCTCGAGGGAGGTGGCTGTATCCAGCTGGAGGATGTCCCCATAGCTAATGTCCTCGCTGAAGGTGTTGGAGACAGAGAAGGGCAGCTCTGCTGCAGCGTGGTGGAGGGCGAGGGAACCCAAAGCATGAGATGTAAGTGATAAGGAAGCCAAAAATGAATTTAGAGTTAGAAAGTAATTGCTATTCCCTGCTTTTTCCAGGGAGGCGGCTGCGTTGGTGCTCCAGAGCACCGGGAAGGGGATGTTAGCCACCAGCTTTCCCAAGAAAGCTTTAATCCAGCGCTTGGCAGCAGTGGGGAGAGGGCACACCGGCCTCACCCTTTACAAGCAATGCTAACGGGTATCACAGCTGCACTTCGCTTTCTTACGCTGCAGCGATGGCTCCAGCACGCTCTGTCTCTGCTGACGCATGGAGGGGAAGCACAAAGCTCCTCTGCCGCTGTCAGACATGTGTGATCAGGAGTTATTTTCACAAGCGGTGCTACGGTTCAGCCCTCACTGAAGAGTGGAGAAAATAGCAAAATTAATGTAGGTTAAACCTGCTACTCCAGCAACAATGCAATTTGCCAGTGTATTTTTTTTTTTAGTATTTAATGTAGTAGAAACATCACGTCCTGTAGTCAAAGCAATTCAAGGTGTGATGGCAGTAAATGCACGCTGGGCGAGGCTGGAAACTCTTCCTCTTCGGTCCAATCCAAGAAGCTCTTGGCACAACTTTTGTTTTGCTTTTGAAGAAGGGAAGCTCACCTGTGAAGAACTGCACATTGCAAGGTAAGCACAAGGTAGTTTTGGGAGCTGGTTAAGGTGCCCCTTCCTTAAAACACTGATTATTGTTTTCTTACACCCTCGTATTCAGTGCTGGATGCAGACGGCTGCAGCAGACGAAGGGTGAGTCTGCTGCTCTCTCTGGTGCAATCACGATGGACGCCGTAGTTAAGCAAACTCCTCTAGTTCTTTGCTAACTTTTCAACCTCCCCCAGCGGAAAAGAACAGGGAGTGAAAAGTGATCTTGCTCAAGTCCAAGATTTTAACTATCATCTCAAGCCCTTGAGTAGGCCGAGTGTTTCCCCCAGCAACTGTTGCAATACCAGACCTTGCAGGAGCCTGTCCCGTGGGCTGGCAGGGGATGAGCACATGGTAGAAAAGCCTTTACTATGGTTAAATGGAAGCCAGAAAATACCTCAGCTCTGCCAGATACATTGACTAGGAATCTCAAAGGCAGGCAGATCCCCAGCAGGCTGGTAACATTTCCCTCCTAAATGTTTTGTTTAGCTACTTGTAGCATGCTATTTTGATTCCCCCTACTGATCTTATCTCATAGTAACGAACACCAGCACTTTCACACAGAGCTGCCAAGAGCTGCCGTCATTAAGGCAATCACTTCTTGTCAATGCTAGGCCGTCACTTTTAAACGTTCAGTCATCAGGGATTTGCTGCAGCAGGCTCCAGGATGGTCAGAAATAAACAAATTAACTCCCAAACACTTTAAGGATATCGATTTTTATTGGACATTGCGAGATCAATAAGAAAAAATAATTTGTACAGCTTTGTGATATAACCATTGCTGCTGAAAGAGTAAGGCTACTTGTCACGAGAAGAGACCCGATGCAGCTAACAGGGTGTTCCTGGCAGGACCTGCTCTGAGAAGCAGGTGATGTTCTCCGCTCACCCTGTCCCACAGCAGCACCTTCCGCCTCGGGCAGGTCCACGTAGCCTTATGGTAGCACAAATGGGGCTTCTTAGACACTAAGGGTGAGCAGCCCTGCTCTAAGAGACCCTCTGCAAATGGCTCACTGCCAACCACAGTTGCAGTATCAGTCTGGTACAGTGGTTACTGACCTTCTGCCTTGCTTCTCCCTCCCTCTGCTAATTCCGTCTTTCCTCTGCGCCTCACAAGGTCACCTGGCCGATGTTCAGCCATTTCCTCCATGCAGCGACTGCCGCACAGCAGCCCTCTTCCCCAAGGAAAGAGCTCTGTCCGCAATAGAGAGCTGACTTACTATTTTTGAGGCCTTTGGTGACAGCAGCTGGCATGAGCTGATTTGTGACACCAGCTAGGGGGGAACCAGGACACTTTAGGAAGTAATCCAGCAGCTCAGACGCTTTCAGCTGGCAGAGTAACCCTTTCTAACGAAACCCAGATGCTTAAGAGTGATTGTAGAGCAGCAGCTACGGATATTGCTCTAGCACTGGGGCACCCACTCCATAGGACGGGCAGAGCTAGAAAAAGAGGCTTCGGTTTACATAGTATTTTTGCTAAGCTTTTTGCCTTTGACAGTTCTTAAGAGTTTAAAAAAAAACAGATGCTAGGACAAAAGGCTGAGTTTCCACGGCGGCAGTGAGACATCCTCAGACTAGGCAAAATTCTAGTTGGCCCCATCAGTATCTCGAACTACCATCCCTTTGCTATGTCAGGTAGGTGAAATGCCAGACCGTGAGAAATTTTAGCATTGATTCAGCCCCTAAGGGGAGATCAGAATTTAGACGTCAGTAAGAGTTACGGACTGTATCATCATGAAATCAAGACAGTAATCTTAAATCAACGAAGGGCTCAGCTGGAAAAAAGAAATCAAATTGAAAGGCTCTGTCGGCAGAAAAGGGGGTAGTTGTACCATGACCGGTTGATTACCTGTACTGTGCTAGTGCCAGCAAACAGACCTAGCTGCTGGACCCTACCCCTGGACCACTGACAGAAGGGGTATTTCTTACTGACAGCAAAATACTTCTCATAGAAGATGACTCGGGAACTCGTGTCTGGTGCCAACACAGCACTCGGCCATCTGATGAACATTCCCGTATTCACAACCAAAGAGAACATAAATACAGTGGGTAAACAAGCTGAGCATGGCAGATTATCTACGTGATCAGACGTGAGCTGCCCCCCCCCCACAGGCACCAAATGTACAACCACATCCCAGGCAACTTGGGGCAACACAGGGCAGTTTACGTTTAAACGAAGGAGGGCAACAAGGATATAACGTGATAATGAAAAACTAGGGAAAAAAAAAAAAAAGGATATAACGTGATAATGAAAAACTAGGAAAAAAAAAAACCAACCAAACCCTTCACACAACTATTTTTCAGCATTGTAAAAAAATAAAAATGAAAGCAATCTTTTTGACTTCCCGTGCCTACACCATGCAGGTCTCCTAGGCATTCTAGGAGCAGGAGACGCTGCCCCTTTTTCTGCTGTTAAGTGATGCAGTGCACACAGTATTTCTGAAGGAGTTCCATAAACTGTAGTGCAAGCAAACTGAGAAAATAAATAGCACTCGAACATTCCCTCTTGTCAAAGAACATTAACTGCAGTAAAAACTAGCTTGCTTTTTGTTTTAACTGAAGTTAACTCAGCTGCAACTTGCTTTAATATATGAAAATTTGAAGATGTGTTTCACAGCATAACTGTAGAATAATTTACACTGCATTGCCAATTCACAATTCAGTCATTTTCATTAACAGTGTACAAAGAAGGTCCTTAGTTTATATATATATATACTTTATAAAGTCTGGAAGATCAATATAAATACTGCTCCAGAAATTAAAAAAGTGTTTACATCCCCGACTTGAATATTACATCTCAGTGTCCTGGATTATTATTATAATCTGTAAAAGTCTTAGCGGCGCAGAGGTTCAAGTTTTCGAAATTTCAGTGACGAGCTGGATGACAAAGCATCTTGGTTTGAAGAAGAATTCACTGTGTCTGGGGACTGGAACAATACTCTACCACGATGATTAAATACATAAAAAGACGGATGGTTCCTTAATGTGTCAAACGTCCTTCAAAATAAATGTAAAAAGTCGACGTTAATACTCTCTTAGAGCAGGGGTTTTAGAAGAGTCAGTCTAGGGTATACCAACTTTTACAGACACGGAAATACAAGTTTTGAATCCAAAACTCTTGCTCGTTTTATAAGTTTCCTAAACTGAAACACAGAGGAAATACAAAGCCAAGCGTGAAAAATACCGACTGCTCAATACGCAGAGGCTGTCCACCCCACAGACAAACTTCACCTTCCTTCCTTGAGCTTAGGGGCAGGCCTGTGGATTACTGCATGCACACGTACCAAATGTGCCGGCCTTGGTTCAGCTGTCACTCCTGTTAATACCTTGACGCTGTTTACTGTCAGCTTTCTGTGCCTGAAGCTAAGGGTTTTAGGTAAACGCTATGAAATACAACAATGTCAACTTGTTTACTTTCCATATTCCCCTGTGCTTTTTTGAAATGGCCAGAGGGGCTGCGTCTGCCCATCCAATTTCATATCCTTTTCAAAATCTCGATTCAAAATCCCTTATTTTCTTAAAGTCTGTCAGATATTCTGCCTTGAGTAGTTCAGCGTGAGGCTCAAATAATTCAGACTCTTGTAGAGAAGCAAAGACAAGCAGGGCGAGCCAAGCATACTGCCCCGTAGTCTATGAGACCATCTCAGGACAGCAGTTTGTGACTGCTGAGCTCTTACTTCCCACGTAGACATTTCATTCCCCTACCAACTCTGCACAGCAGGATTTTGGATGAGGAAAAGCAAGAAGTTTATTTAATTTGTTCCAGTTACCTAACTCTCTCTGAAATCCAAGACATTCTTGGCTTTCCCAGGTGTGGCTGTCCCTCTCAGTGTTATTGTCTACAACGTGCATTTGAGAAGAACCGAGCTAAAGAGCGAGCTATTTCACAGTGTGCAGTTTGTATAGAGAGTAGCAGATACAGGTGTTTATGAAAAGAAGAAATAAAACATACTTATTTTTTAGTTCTGAAGTGGCATCCATGTCTTTAAATTCTCCTGCGATATGTACTATCCCATAGCAGGTAACTGCAAAGGCTAACAGAGTCTGAAGAACTATCTGTAACAGAGGGAAGCACAATGCAACACACTCATTACTTCATGTTCTTAATATTTACCAGAGAATCTCATCTTTCAAACAGTGTCTCTTGCGCTTTTCATCCAGTGACAGTAAGCGCTTTAGAGAGGTGGGCAATTCAGCAGTAGGGAAACTGAGGCACGGGAGGATTAAATACGCCGCCTATTTAGCACGGCAAAACGGTGGCAGAGCTGAGAAGAGCTTCAGCTGCCTGACAACCGGTCTGCGTTGCACGAATTGAATTGATTCACGCGGCTCCTCAGCGAGATCCTTGGAACAAAACACTGTGTTCTTGTGCACTTAAGGATCTAATACGCTCTCTGAGAAAGGAGTTGGCTGCCAACACATGCCGTGCAGCGGTGGCAGCTGCTGCTCGGTCCAAACGCCGTGCCTGGCTGTCGTGGGTATTTGACCTCCTCACCCTTCCGGTTAAGCAAAAATGGAACAGATAATAGTCGAAGTGGAATTTAAAAACCAAGCAAATAAAACAAATAAACCCCCCCCCCCTTCCTGAAGCAGGTTGTGCTGGGATCAAATGGGCACGCAGCCACACTGGATAAACAAATGTCAGCCAACAAAAGCCAGAGGGAGGAGGATGTTTATGCTGCAAAGAAGGAGATGAACGCAAAAGCTCTCTGAGCTCCGTTCAGGGAATTCCTGGAGAAGACGCTTCAGGGTAGTTCTAAAGAAGGAGAGAGAGGTCTGGACCTGGGGTTTGCTCTCTCTGACTGATAAAGACACCGCAGAAGTTGGGGTAGAAAATACGGTTCTTTTTTGACAGAGGGAGCTCAAATGAAAGCGCAATTTAAAAACTACTTTACCCTTTATTCTTGCCTATCACATTAAGAAAAGAGCAACTGAGAGAGACTAAACTATCCACAGAGCCTTACACCTTTCAAACGCTATAAAACCTCAAACTTACATCTATGGGCAATGTTTCATCTTCCTTTTCTGTTAATCTCATATAAGAGCGATCTGCAAAACAGAAACACACGGACGCATCAAACACTCTGTGTGAGCAAATAAACAGAAGAGCAATACAAAACCCCACAGGAACTCGCTGTAGGTCCTAGACGCGTGTCAGTCCCGATCATCCCCCGGCAGCTGGGCTGCTCCTGGTCTTGCTTTGAGTCTCTGCTCCCCCAGGGCACGGCTGACCCCGAACCCCGGGCAGCCCCCGTCACCACCTCCTCTCCCCGCGGCC